CTAGATTCTTCGGACTCATTCTTCAGATTTTCACACAAGTGCATACAACATTCATGTCTTCAGATACACGCCCTCTAAACTCATTACTCCTCTGGCTAATAAATGTGCTCTTGCTTGTAGAGMTTTTTTATAAACACCATAGTGTGTCATATTTCGTTGATATAATCTGATGTTTTGTTTTTTTRCCCTCATCTAAACTTCCTCTTGAATTTAAATTTTCTTGTCTTATTTCAGAGCCTGTTTTTACGTCAGGCTCTGCTCTGAGAACAGAACCTTCCAGATGGTCCACGAGGACCGAGGTCAGTTATTTATTTGTCGGTTGGAAGCGAGTGTTTCAGTGAGCCGCTTGTTCCTAACGGTGAGGTCGTTGGGATGCACTCTTTGGTTCTCCTGCGTTTATTTGTGTAAAAACACTGAGAAGGTTGTTGAGCGTTTGCAGGAAACTTTTCAGAATTTCCACAAAGRGAAACCGTTGGAACCCCAGCCACGCCCAGAATCGTCTCTGCTCGAATGTTTGGCTCTTCCACTGAAAGGTTTTAATGATCCTCAGCTGGTCGAACATGCGAACAACATTTTTACACCACGATGAATCTGTGAAACGGCTCCTCTGTTTGATTTGGACCRGGGCTTTACATGAAGCTGCTGTGGTTCTGGGTCGATCCAGCTGCTCATCTCTGCRGCATTTCTTTCCTCCAGCGGCGGCCGTTGTCTAGCAACGCCACAACACTGCAGAGCAGGAAGTGTGGCGGCGTGAGTAATGACCTTCAGACAGCAGAACATGGAAGAACCGGGCCACTGTTCTAAAGACTTCCACATGTTGGGTCCAGCTTTGTTTTTTGTTTTTTTCACACAAAGCAGTTCATCAATACTCTGATCACTGAGTTTACAGGTTTTACTTTCATCCACACAGAGTTTCAGAAAGTTTAACAACTTCTTCTGACCTCTGGGAACAGAATCTGTTTCAGCTCACTCAGAAAAATGTTGCGTAAATCCTCTCACTGTTTGGACCCGAGCCCGGTTCATGGTTCTGATGGCAAACGGCTGCTGAGAGTCGTTTTCCTGCAGAGTAAAAACTAAAAACTGTCCTGGATCAAAACTGATAGAAAAACAAATGAATCCTAAACTCCAAATCTGAAAACAGGAACATCAATGCAAAGATTTACAAAACTTAAACAAGAAATAATTTTTAAAGATAATCTAGAATTTATTTTAAATTTATTTATGTTTGGAACACGTCTCTAAAACGTTTGAGTCTGAACTTTTTAGAAGTAAAGATGGGCAGAGGGTCAGAAACCTCGTCAAGCACCTCTGCTCTCAGGATGCGGATGCAAGAGAAAATGCGACCCCAGGTTGAGTCCGGAGCAAAGAACAAACGAGGAAACCATCCGGAACCATTCAAGTTGGACTCTAAGGTTCATTTAACAGAAAAACACAGAAAAGCTCGACAGGAAGTCAAAAAACAAGAACTAAAGTTTCTGAGTTTTTTTTAGATGGCTTATAAAC